TATTACACTTAATTTTTAATGACTATTGAAAAAATTAATATATACATGTCCAAAGACTTAAACAAAAATTCTTTTATATCTAAAAATAATTTAAAAAAACAATTAAAAATTTAAATTCTAATTTTATTATTCAAAAAATATTTTTGTATTTTATAAAAATCAGCATGGGAATGTAAAAGGCATGTGGTTGTGGAGTGATTTGATCTTACCTTGAAGTTGGATTTGAAAAATAAAAAAAAATGCATAAGGTGTTTAAAAAAAAACCTTTTCACGAATTATAAACAACCTAAGTAAGCTTCTAATACTGCCAAATAACCTTTGCCAATCTTATAAAAATCCTAGCTTTTTTTATCACATTCTAATTAGTTCTAAAATAATCTTAAAAAATCTTTAATAATAATAGATAAATCCTAAAGAAATCATAAAGAAATAATAATGAAAACTTAAAAAAAAAAACCTTAAATAAAAAAATTTCCAATTTTAAAGAAATCCTAAATAAATTATAATTAAAACCAATTTTTTAAAATAAAATACTAATAAAATTTTAAATAAATTCTAAAAAATCATAATAAAAAATTATAAAAAAGAATCCTAAAAATATCTAATTAAATACTAATTAAATCATAAATAAACTCTAATAATTTATAATTAAATTCTATATAAACTTAATATCAAATTTAAAATCTTAGTAATTATAAATTCAATTATTTATCTTGATTTAAAACTTTTATTCTATTAAATCTAATATTAAAAAACAAAAAAATAAAATTTGAAGAAAATTATCTTACAAATATAAAACAAAATATTCCTAATTTACTTAGATATTGGAAATTTTTATTTTACAATCTTGAATTTAATCTTCCATCATTATTAGTTATATTTTACACCATTTATTAGCTCTAAAAATTTATATAAATTTTTGAAACTAATTCAAATATTAGCTCACAATAAATTATTTCAATCCAATTGGTAGATTACTCAAAATTATAGAAATTATTACTAACATTTAAGATCCAATTTTTGATACACTTATCTACTTGAATTTTAATAATCTTTGCTTTTATTGTTCAATTGAACTATGAAGGACATGAATCTTAAAAATAAAAAAAATAAAATCTCAATATACTCTTATGTCAATTGAAAAGATTAAAAAATCATTCAAAGATGGTAATATTTTGAACTAGAATGGCTATTGCCATGGACAAGAAGATTAAAAAGTCTCAAAACAAGACTAAAGACTAGAAAGGTATTGACAAGAGTGAAGAAGACTTCACACTTGCTTCCATATATACTATCCAACTAGAAGCTACATGACAACTTCCTATATGACTTCCAATATGTGTTCAATTTGTAAGATATGTGTCTTAACTTACAAGGCAAGTTTCCTATATGTATGCCACATCATTAACTTGTACCACAAGCTATCTACATGTGCAACACATGGCTATCTTGTTGGCCAAGTTTTTAACTTACCAATCAACTATAAACATGTATAAAGTCTAATATGCATCTATATAGCTTCTAAGAAGCTTTGCCACAAAATAATATCAAATCTACCTACATTTACTTTCTACCTAGCACTTCTTATTTAGATAAATGTTTATGTCTATAACATGAGCCCAATTTCACAATGTATATTTAATGTAACTATATTCACAAAGCTACAAATTTTAACTATATATTTGATGTAAAACTTATATAATTGACCAAAATACTATTTTATATATTTTATAAAAAAAAATATCATCTAAAACAATCATGAATTTGAAAAGTTCTTATAAAGTCATTATCATTTTTAGTTCCTAAAAATAACATCTAAAGATATTTTTTTATCAAGTTTTCTTCAAATTTTGCTTTTTAATCAAATACAAAACTTAAAATTTGTTGTAGATATGTTGTTTTGTACATCTAAGTTTGGATTTGATCTTAATTCAAAACCAATCTTCTCCTAGTATTAATATAAGATTTTATTAGATAATTTTTAAGACTATAAGATTTTAGTATAGATCTATTTTAGTATCTTGGCTTTACTTAGTAGATCAAGAAGTCCTAACATCAAATATAAAGAATAAAATTCTTAATGGTTAATTTATTGAATTTGTAATAACTTACATATATTTGAAAAGATCCATATTTTTTCTTCACAAAAAAGATTGATCTACTTGTATAAAATTTTGAATGTGAAGTAAAATTATTTGCATGATTTTTTTTAATAATATGTTATTAAAATATAAAAAATTATTTTATAAATGTTATAAATTTATTAAAAAGATAATAAATTTTTTTGAAGGTTAATCATGCAATTATGAGATTATTATTTTTGCAATATATCAACATTTTTTTCTTTTCAAATACATCTTGATATTCTTTACATTGGTTTCACATTTTGTTATAACTTCTACTTGAATGGAAATTTGATATTGTATAAATAGTAAATGGATCTATTTCTTATATAGCTTGTATAAATTTTCTAGCTTCTACAAATAAAGCTTTTACTTTTTAAGACATAAGATATATTTTTTTATTTTGAGGTTTTTTTAGAAAAGGCAAGAGCAAACTTAACACTACAAGATATTCAATGTGTCTATGGATTATATTTTTCTAATCATAATAATTCTAAAACAATAAAATTATTTGCAGATTTTATTATATTCGATATTACTAGACCTTGATAAACTTTTATAATTACTTCTAATAATAGGATTTATGGATAACATCTCTTAATGATAAAGGTTATCTATATAGAAAGTCTACATATATGGATTTGGCTTTTTGTACCAATAATATCTTAAGATATTTTTTAAAAAAACTCATTAATATTAGATTCTGAGTAGTCTTATATTAAAAATGTTTAGAAGGTACTATAAGGCCTATACAAGATAATGTGGTACAGGAATTCAACTTCTACTTCCTTATTTTATCAATCAAACGTGTTTTTTGATATATTATCATTTTTTAGACTTGTACTCTATGTCTTGTGAGTTTTCCACTTTCTAAATAAATATTGAGCAATATTTTTTATTTTCTATAATAGAAGAAGAATACTTCTTAATAGTGTTAATTTTTAAATTTAATTTATCTAATTTAAAAAAATTATAAAAGATCTAAAACATACAACATCAATTTGCATGTTTATTGTGTTTTTTTTATAGATCATTAGTAGTAGAAGTATTTACAACAAAATTATAGAAGCTATGAGGTGCTAACACACAACTTTGTAATTGAAATTCAAAAATTAGTTATGGTGTATAACAAAAAATCAATAACTAGATTTAAAATTTAAAAATAAAAGAATTTGAGCAATATTCTCTTTACATGTTCTAACTTATTTACACACACCCACATATATATATATATATATATATATATAACTTGTTATAACATGTAAAGAAATTATAACATGTAATAAGCTTTAAGATATAATTAGTCCAAATGGTTATCTTAAAAAATTTTAAAATCTAACTATTGAGAACAAAAAATCTTGTTTCTTTCCAAGACATGTTTATATTTCTAAATATTATTTATACTAGACTTATTAAATTAAAGAGGAATAGCTCTCAAAGAAAATTGCAAATTTTGTAACTTTTCATTGTTTAATAATTGTAGTAATTGAAACAATTTTAATTTTTTTAAAATTATAGAAACGATTGTTGTGTTGTCTTTATTGATTATTTCATTATTATTAGTTCTTTGATTTATAGATATTTTGATAGATGCAATTAATTTATGAAAATAAAATAAAAATAGTAATAGAGAAACAGTACTAATATAAAAAAGGGTACATCTAAACTTTTTTATTTATTTGTTTACTTATTATTGCTATTATGGTTTGAAAAAAATAAAAAATAAAATGAGCTATCTACTAGTTAAAAAATAATTTTAGAGATTATATATTTTTTTTAATATTAATTCAGAGTAATACAATCTATAACAACAACATTATTTAGATAGAGTTGGAAGAAAGAAAAAAAGGTAAAATTTATTATTTGTCAAAAATAGGTCAAACTTTTGATAGTATGGTCGTTGGACTTGTCAAACTATTAGAAATATGATTCTGTGCAAATATGTTAAAAGTCAGTTAATATATGTGAAATTAAAAATAAATTATTCAATTAAGATTTTGGTTGTCAAAAAGTCTGAAACCAAGAATAGTAAATAATTGAATTTTTACCAAGCATATATATATATATATATATATATGTGTGTGTGTGTGTGTATGTGTGTGTGTGTGTATGTGTGTGTGTGTGTATGTGTGTGTGTGTGTGTATATGTATGTATTTGTATATACATAATATCTAATAGGATGATGAATAAGCTCAAAAAGACTTCAGAGATAATGGGAAATTAAGAAATCGGTAGTAAGTTTTAAATGATTTTTTTTTTTTTTTTTGATAAAAACATTTTAGTTGCATTTATGAACCTTAATAGATCTAATGCTCATCTATAGAGCTTCTAAGATATGTTACAAAGAAGATATTTCTAATCTAACTTAGTTCTGTAAATTTTCAATTACTCATATTTTTTAAATTATATACACACATATATATATTTATAATTGAATGTACTTCATTACACATGTTTTTATTATTATTTATTATTTTATTCTTTTCATAATCACCCTCAAAATTCGAGAAATAAATCAATAGCTACAAACATTTTAAATTTTATTAAGGAGGAAAAGAAAAGTAACATGGTTGAATGATACAAAAAATTGATTATTTTTGTGAATTGTGTCAGAATCCTAAACAAAATGTCTTAATTTAGAACACGCTTTCTCTTCTGCTCTTGTCGAGTCAAAATTAATAGGATAAACAATATATTGCAAGAACATGTTTTTATATATTTTACCACATCTTGAAAAAACGTGCATCCCTCGCATTCCAAGTGCCATGCCAGTGACGTGGCACGCGGGTGATGGAACAACCCGATCTCGGTATAGTCAGCAAGCACCGTGGACCCTAAACCCTAGAGCAGAGCAAAGCAGATGCTGAATGAGCGAAGAAGAAGCCCTAAATAAGACTAAGCAAACGCAGCGAAGGTCGTTGTTGTCCTCGCACCGTCTTTGTCCATGCTCCAATTGTCGTAGTTCTGCTGGCGGGTGGAGATTCCTCGCGTCGTTTGTCACTCTTGCAGGCTCAGTTGCAGGCTTCCCCCATGGCGGACGAGGAAGCTGCAGCGCGGGCGGCTGCAGCTCACCACGCGAAACAGAAAGCTGAGGCCGGTGAACTTACCATCTTCGACAAGATTATTTCGAAGGAGATTCCTTCCAAAATCGTCTATGAGGATGACGATGTGCTCGCATTCCGTGACGTATCACCGCAAGGTCCCGTGCACATTATCCTCATTCCCAAGGATCGCGACGGTCTCACTCAGCTTTCCAAGGCAGAGGACCGTCACGAGAAGATTCTCGGTCACCTTATGGTGACGGCTGCCAAGGTCGCTCGCCAGGAGAAGCTGGACAAAGGATTCCGTCTTGTTGTCAACGATGGCCCGGATGGCTGCCAGTCGGTGTATCATATTCATCTGCACCTCATCGGAGGCCGCCAGATGAAGTGGCCTCCCGGCTAATTTCCGCCTCTTGGTTTCTGCAATCTATCTTGAGGTGATCGATTCTGGTACGTAGTCAGTGTGCTATCAGGTTGGGTTACTTTTGAACTACTCGTCGTCTGGCTTTGTACTGCGATACGCACGGCTGCACCTAATTTGGTTGTTTGATGGCCAATCATGCAGTGCGATGAAGGGTTCCGATGAATTTGTGTTAGCGATGTGAGAAATGAACGTGGTTTTTTGCAATGCTGGACCTTGAGTATCTCAAGGTTTTGGTGTATGCATGTAATTAAGTGCTGTGTATCAAAATAAGCTTAACATGCATTCATATGGTTCACATAGCTCGATCCCATGCTGTAAAGGAGAGTGTCTCATTTTGCAAGGATTACCTTGTCTGATTTGAATGTGGCAATATTTACTACGTGAAATTCAGTTTGAGCTATTTTATGAAGTGCATTGATCTCGGGATCGAGTGCATACTGTAGGGATGTTGATACTTCAGAATTATTCCGTGAATCAACTTTTGTACTTTGTTGCCCTTAGAGTGCGAACTTACGTTGATTTCCTCGTTTCTGAGGTTGAAGGAACAGATTTTGCATATTAGTTGACTGAATTTTCTTAGTATCCAAATAGTAGGAACTTCAGATGATCTATTTCCACCATTGAAATGTTTGTGAGTTAATCCAACATCATATGGTAGCCTTGGAATAAAGTTCTAACAGAATTTTCTAGCGTTACTTATCTGCCGGTCTTTTAAAGAGATTGTGCTGCTTTCACCGTTGTAGATACTGCGTCTATTGATGAGCTGTGTCTTTTTTGAACCGTGACCGCGTTATTTCAGTGCGCACATGTATTATCCTTATTTCTCAGCAATACAGTACTTCATAGCCAATGTTATGACACTATTCAGTCTAGGGTAAGTTCATAGTCACACTCTGCTTTTCATTGAATTTCGGGCAGCAGAACCTGTCATTAGCTCCAATCGGAAGATCTTATGCACAAGTCTTTCAAGGTTTTGAACATGTGGTGGGGACGTGCGTGTGGCTCTTATTGTTATATTCACCAGCTAATAGATTTTTATTTTTCGTTTCAGACCCGGACCCTCCTTCTATGCAGGGGTGCTGTGATGCGAAATCTCTGTTAAAAGCGCAACATTCATGATCCTTCGTTTAATAGTGTCTTCAGCATCGAAATGCTGCAACAACGTATTTAGGACACCCCACACCTTCAAATCTTTTGGGATACTTCCCAACTCTCTCCTCTCCTATCCGAATTCCCACGTTCAGCATTATGCTCGACTGAGGAGATCGATGTCTTACAGCCCATGATTCGACTTTGTTGTAATTGCTGGTCTAGATATCATCGCCACACATGTTGCCCGTGAGGTGGTTGTCTAGGTTGCCCATTTCTCAAGGCTGCAGGTGGTGTTCTCAAGTCACAATTGGATTCACTTCTGCCCATGGTTCGCTTTTCTGTTTCTAGACGTAAGTCAGCATCAACTGTGGGGTAGCTTCGGGGAGTGGAGTTGTTTCTCCTCTCTGTAGGCCTTGGCACCTGCGTTTCAGAGTGCTGGTGGAGTTACGGTTCTTCAAGCTCACACAGAGAGAACGTTGGTTGCAGGGATGATCGAGTTCGTGCACACACAAAAGTTTATCTGATCGTTCACTCGAGCACCGCTGACGGACTGTCATGCTTTCATGGTACTCACCGAATGGCAGCGTCAGGATAGATTTTATTTATTTTTTATTTTGTATTTTGTAGAGAAAAGAGAAGTCAATTGGAGAATGTAGCTTGATAATAGGAAAGGAGGAAGATTTACTTATTTGGAGGAGAATTCGTCTTATAGCATTGTAGGGGCATGGGCTCCATCCGGTTTACTTCGTCCTTTTGTAGTAAAAAATAGGTTTTATGAAAACTTGTTATTGGAGGTATTAATGCTGGCGATGGTCATTATTGATTAGAATTTTACCAAGTTTTCGTTTTTTGTGGCAAAACTTACATGTTGCTTACAGTTCTCATGTTTGTGTGGTTTAGTTTTCTATAATAGATTGTAGTGACCATTGTTTGTGGGGTGGCAATTTTGCTTACATCTATTGGTTGTTGATCAGCTAATCTATACATTCTTAAAACATTATATTTTGGAATATAATAATTTTAGTTGTAGCAAATCTTTGATTGAGGTATGAAATTTTTAATATATATTAATTAATAATAGATAAATAAAACACATTTTGTAGTGGATCTTTTATTCTAAAGTTATGTAATGTTAAAATTACAGAAAAAACATTAATCTTAGTATAGATAATTTTAAAATTTATAAATCAATACATTAAAGCTTATAAAATAAAACCAACACAAATAATTTTGAATCCTCTTTAATTTAAATATTTAACATTAAGTTATGGAAACCATTAGGTGGACACCTCCTTTTTACTATGTTGACACCTCCCAATGCTACACCAACAATATACCATTGCTACAAGTTTTTCGATAAGCTAGACACTAATAAGACTGAAAGGTATAAAAACAATAATAAAAAACAACAACTCTCAACACAAAAATATAAGCAAAACAAAAACTAATGAAATAAAAAAAAAAATAGTAAAAAGAGGGTGTCTACGTAGCAAAATTGCTATATAGACACCCTTCTTTGATTATTTTTTTTAATCTTGTTTGGCTTTTATATTGTATTAGGGACATAGTCCTTAGAACCTTCTAGAGACAAGTTTCTAGAACCTTCTAGAAGCAAGTCTTTGGAATCTTCTAGAAGCTTCTTAGTTGATGGAAATTACTTGGGAAACTTCCTAGTTGGTAGAAGATGTTAGGGACATAGTCTTTAGAACCTTTTAGAGACAAGTTTCTAGAACCTCCTAGAAGCAAGTCTCTAGAACCTTCTAGAAGCTTCCTAGTTGGTAGAAGTTGTTTGAGGAGCTTCCTAAATAGGAGTATATATTGGAATCGAGGCTGAAGAGTTCTTCAGTCTCAACAACACATCTCTTGGAGCTCTAGTTCACCTCTCTGGTGTTGTTCTTGTATTCATCTGATTAATCTAATTCTTACCAATTCTTCTTGAACTTCTTGTTAGATCTCGAGTCTGTGTTTTTGTGTCCGTGACAGTTTGTCAAGACTTCACTCACCTCAGATATCAGAGCTAGTTTCTTCCTCATTAGAGTGTGGATTATCCCTCTGCTTAGAAGTGTATTAGCATTTTAGAGGTTGCAGATTATCCTCCTCTAAACTGATACTTCTTTTGTTACAATATTAGAGTCTTATTCTTCTTGGAGAGAGTGGATTATCCCTTTTCTTGAAGCTCTTAAGGCATTTTAGAGGTTGCAGAGTACCCTCCTTTAAACCAATATTGTCTTCTTGTAGAGTCATTTTTGTCCTTCTCTTAGAATGGCCGGAGGCCAAGACATTAGTATGACGAAAAGTTCGGAGTCCAAGTTGGATGCTATCATGAATGCCCTTGCTACGTTATCACAAAGAACTGCAGAGATTGAAGGAGTCGTGGCAAGGCTTCATAATGATGGAGCATCTGGTATGGCACAATCTAGGTTATACCAGCCTCAAACTTCTGCACTTGGAGAAGCAACTTTGCCTCAGGTTTGACAAGCACCGCTGGTTCTACAACATAAGGAGCCCCAAGTTAGCCTTCCGGATAAGTTCAATGGTACGCATTTCAAGTTTTGAGGATTCGTCAACGAAATCAGGTTGATAACAGTTTTACAGTCCAAATACTATCCAATGGAGGAGTCATGTGTTGGGCTTGTTGGAACCTTACTTACAGGGCAAGCTCTATCATGGTTTGCTTCTTTGTTTGAAAAATGATCGTCCATACTAAACAACTTTGAAACCTTTTTGGAGGCATTTGCGGAAGTATTTGGTGAACACGACAAGGTTCGATGGGCTACAACAAAGATCTGGTCACTACGACAAGGAATGCGCTCTACATCAGTCCATGCATCGGACTTCAGGCAATTAGCATGCGACATCAATTGAGACGAAGAAGCGTTGATGAATCAATTCTATTGGGATTTAAGGGATGATGTGAAGGATTTGCTATTAACTCTTCCTGATCCGCAAACGCTCAATGAAGCTATTAGCCAAGTTGTGAAGTGCGATAACCGCCTATTCCAACGCCGTCGAGACCAACGTTCAAGACAACATATGGTTCGCCACATCCCAACTATGTCGGCAAGCAGCATGAATTCATATTCAGAGGTAGAGGACATGCAAATTGATGCGGTACGTGTCAAATCCCTTACTCTAGAAGAAAAAAAGCGGCATATGGAGGATGGTCTATGTTTGTATTGCGGTGAAGAAGGCCACAAAGTTGGAAACTGCCCTAAAAAGTAAAATCGACGTATTGTCAGGACTAGGGGCGTGTTTCTTTAGGAAAACGAGGATGCCCAGCCACAATAGGAACCGTGCGGCTAAATAGTGAAATATCGCAACAACAACTAGGTTCTTTTCTTTCCGCTCAACCTGCCCTTTGCTTTACAATCCCTTTGTTTATTGGCCCTCAGAAACTGAGAACCTTAGCATTATTAGATTCAAGAGCATCTGTTTGTTTTTTAGATGAAGAATTTGCGAAGCGTCATAAGATCCCTTTAGTACAAAAATCCAAACTTGTTCACCTTGAGGTCATAGATGGGCAACCTTTATTGTCTAATAGTGTCACCCATGAATCAGAACCTATAGAAGTGACGTTTAAGGGCCATAGTAATCATATTATTTTCAATATTATTAGAATCCCATCAAATCCTGTTATTCTTAGTCTTTCTTGGTTAGAAAAGCATAACCCATCTGTAGATTGGAAGTTGCGGAAGATGACCTTTCCCACAAAACCACCCAAGAGCAAGCCTAGTAGAAAACCCCGAATAGAGAAATCCTTATTCATTGGAGCAAGAGCGTTTATAAGATCGTCCAAGGAAGGCACACCGTTTGACATTTATGCGGCTCTAACTATCGGAGAGAAGATCTCGACAACAAGGTGTCACGGACATACATATAATTACCTATATGAATAGATAAAAGTATGTAAAAGTAGATAAAAGTAGGTTAATTGTGTAATATCTTCTAGAGAAGCTTCTTAGAAGCTTCATAGACGCTGCTTTGACTTTATAGGAGTCTATAGTTGACTTTTAGGTTAGAAACTTGGTCAACAAGTTAGCCATGTGCCACACATGTTGGAAGCTTAAAGAACAAGCTAACTACGTGGTCCATCCATAGAAAACTTGCCTTGCAAGCAAAGGCATGTGGCCTAGAAAGTCAACATATATTGAAGGTCATATAGAACATCGCCACGTGGCTTCTAGTTAGATAGTATATATAGAGGCAAGAGTGAAGCCCTCTTCACTCTTGTCAACTCCTTTCTTGCTTCTAGTCTAGTTTCAAGGGTCTCTAGTTTTCTTGTATTTTGGCAATAGCCATTCCAGTTTCTTTCTTAATATACATATTTCTATTTTGTCCTATTTCTTTTTGAGAAAAGTCTCACTTACTCTTTAGCTTTCATCGAGTTCTTGTCCTTGACAGATTGACAAGAGTACACTTACAATATCAGAGCTTTGTCTTTTCTTGATTAAGAGTGGATTACCCCTTTTTCTTGATAAGACATAAGCGCATTAGAAGTTGCGGATTACCCTCTTTTAAACTGATATTGTTCTTAGTATTTTCTTTGTTATCAATTCCTCTCTTCTATTTGTTTTGAGCGTTATTAGACATCTTTTCTTTTCTAAGTGCTACTATGGCAGAGCTTGTTGAAATGAAGAGTGCAATGGCACAGATGCAAGAACAATTGAGGGAGTTAATGCTTGCGATGCATCAACTCAATTTACCACCACAAGGAGCAACAAGAATGGTAGGAAGTGAAGATATAGAGATGATTGGGGCTGCTTCAACATCTGCACCAAACCATGTCCCTTCTCCCAGAATGGAACATCCTTCGAGTGTTAGAGAACCGAGAGTTGCCTTGCCCGAGAAGTTTGATGGTACCAGATCCAAGTTTCGAGGATTCATCAATCAGGACCAACTAGTGATTGAACTTCAACCCCAGAGCTATCCAACTCCAGGGTCACAAGTTAGATTCATTGGTACACTTCTTTCAGGTTCAGCATTGTCATGGTTTTCATCTTTTCTTGAATGACGAGATCCAATATTGGATAATCTGGAGGCTTTTTTGGCGGAGTTTCGATCCATGTTTGGAGAACATGATGCAATTCGTGTTGCAACCAACAAGATCCATATTTTGCGACAAGGCAATCGATCAGTAACATTATATGCTTCGTAATTTTGACAACTTGCAACTGATATCAAGTGGGATGATGCCGCACTTGTGAGTCAATTTCTCTACGGATTACAATATGAGGTAAAGAAATTGATGCTTAATTTACCTGATCCTCAAACATTGAGTCAAGCAATTGACTTTGCTGTGAAGTGCGACAATCGACTTTTTGAATTTCGATCCGAGAGTCGCACAAGTAGGCCTCAACGTTACTACAATTCAATGGCAACACCGACGTCTCCTCAACACATACCTTCAGAAGTAGAGGATATGCAAATTGATGCAGTACGTTTCAAACCTCTT